CGGCTCGCTAATCAGCAGTCCAATCTGTTCCTAGATTTATAAACATAACCAATATGCTCTAGTGCCAATCCACCCTCCGTCTGTCATGTTCACATTCCCCCACAAAAGAGAGGATAAAAAAGTAGAGAAAAGAAGAAAAATGTAGGCATTGCCTGGGGCCTGTTGTGATGTAAGACAGAGGGAGAGAAAGAGGGGGGTGCACCCTTGTATGGTTCACAGACTCTGTACGAATGCATGCATACACACACGCACATATCCTACGACAACTTACTGCCAAAGAGGCATCCATGCACATATATCTCCACATATAGAGACACATTCTCTCCGAGACAAAGAAACTATTTTAACTCCGCTGGTCTCGTTTACACACACACACTTATGCATACCCAGTCCAACACACATTACCAAAGACTTCACATGACTAAACGCACACACATGCACGCACACACACACACAGAGAGAGAGAGAGAGAGAGAGAGAGAGAGAGAGAGAGAGAGAGAGAGAGAGAGAGAGAGAGAGAGAGAGAGAGAGAGAGAGAGAGAGAGAGAGAGAGAGAGAGAGAGAGAGAGAGAGAGAGAAAGAAACCACTCCAACTTGTCTGCTGTTGACACAACACAGAGATCAGGTCTGAGCAAGTGCTGAAATTCCAGTATGGCAGAATTGTTAGCAAACACTTGAGAACAGACTGAGCCCAACTGTGCAGCAAGGCAAACAATCCCTATATCCACCCAGCTTCATGGAGCTGAGCTCTTCACTATGTTTCCATCTTTGCCTGATGTAGCAGGGGGATTTTGAGGGTGTAGGTTGGGCCACATGCCTGTGTCTCGCTGGTGTAAATATGTCTTTTGTTTGGCGGTTTGACCCCAGGGTGTGTTGGTATTTTGTTGAAAGGCCACGGATATTCACGCTAAAGCACCTTGACAGGAAGACTGTGTGAAGGCCGCTCCGGGACATGGGCTATGGCTCATCTCACCCAGACCTATTCGCGTCCTTTGGGCCGCTGTTGCATGCACACACACATACACACATATACATATGCATATGTGCACAGTGACACCACAGAAATATATGCATTTTCAGCTTAAGCAAATAATTGTGCATGTAGACTACATTCAGAATTATAGATCTAGCAAACACTTACACACATTCAGTCTAAAACAAGAACTCAGAGAAACATTGTATTGCTCAGATGTTGCTCTTTGAAAGCTCAGCAGAATTAATTATGTGGATAGTTATAAGAAATGTAAGAAATTTTGAAGACAAATTGATACTTATAAAACATAACTAGTTACATACGTTACGTATGTAACTAGTTATGTTTTATAAGTATCAATTTGTCTTCAAAATTTCTTTGGAAGACATAAAAATGGAAACAACTGAAAGGAGGGAACTCATTTGTGAACCCCCCCCCCATGTGGGGGGACCCTAACCCAGAGGAAACTTTTACAAAGGTTTCTCTTTTACAGCTCGAGAGGTTTAAGTTTTCAGTTTCTTTCAAATATGTACATCGTCTCAGATGTTTCTGTAAATTGTTGACATATAGAAGGAGCCTATAGAATTAATGTGGAAGTATAGCTTAGATGATTTAGATTGGATGAGAAATGTTTCGGTGAAAATACTGATTTGATGACAAACTTTTACTTTGGAGAATCTTAGCACAGATGTGGAGATCTACTGTACTACAATCTTTGTTCTCAAACAAGTCTCTGTTTGCTTTCCTTTTAAATCTCATTGTAGTCTAGGAGATACCACATAGATTTCGCTTCTGTATTGGTAAAAACATTGTGTATCACCTCTCGAAGGAACCTACTGGGTCAGGGGTCACATTTTCCCCTAAGCTATAAGAACACTGCCAAATACTGCACATGAAATGCACATAGAGCAATCATCCAGAGCTTTTCTTGAACAAGTTTCAACTTCTCTTGACATGGGCGGGCTTGGCTGTCAAAGAAGTGAAGCATGCCAGTCATCCAGTTCTCTCTCTCACTCCTTTTTTCTCTCAGGCGCAGAAACCTGATCCAGGGTGTGTGGACGCTGTTTCTCTAAAGTAGCCCCGCCACACTTCACTCCATGCTTTTAAGACTTTCATAAAAGCCGCCTTATTGACAAAACAATCCATCCCTAAGGTTTAAACAGCATCTTTAAAGGGATTATTAAATTCCGTCAGGAAGGGGAGAACGGGCAACATGTGAAACCCGATGACCCGCCCATTGATTTTACATCAAGGATCTTTATGGAGTGTTCTGAGAATGTTTCCTCTTATCGTCAAAGGCTAAAAGTTTTCTTTCTCTCTTCATCTTTCCTTATTCTTAATCTTCCATCGAAGTTTTACATTTGGATGTTGAACGACTGACTCTACCTCCACATCATTATGCGGTTGTACATAATCCCTATCAAAGCTCTGACATCAACCCTCCAAAAATAGATCCCACACCGTCTATCCACATCCCCTCTTTGATGCCGCGTTCGCTCTCTGTGTCTTAGGCTGTCTCTGTGTGCTCATGCGTGTCCACTGGCACGCATGCGTCTCTGCTCATGTGTGCGTAAGAGTGACCATGAGGGTGTGACTAAGTGTACATCTACTGCGTATTGTCCAGATTTGAGGAATAGTTTTCAAACACTCTCAATTCATGTCGAATAAACACACACGCACGTGGGTCGATTGTTAATATGTGGACCCAGATTTGCAGCGGTCCCTCACGTTATGTCATCGCCAATAATTCATGAGTGATCAGCACCCCGCATGGCCTTTAGCATTTTTTATTTAATCTTCAGCCTGCGGATTCTCTGAGTCTTCATCAATAATGGACACATACATGTGTGTTAACAAGTCTATGAGAGCAGGGCTTAAGGAAGCTGTCATTTTCGGTTGATCTCTTGTTTAGCTCAATCTGTTAGCTGTTTGTTTGGTGTCACGTTTCCTCATGTTCACCCTTGAGTCCAATAATCAAAAAAAATGTTTTGCGCTGAGATATAGCTGAATGATATGGACTTACATAGTAATTGAATAGAGAGGCACTCTACAATCTAATTATGTACATTTTGCACGAATACTGTATGTTGGGAGTAAGCTATGTTGGCCCTGTGCTTCGACTAGTCTGATAAATAGAATCACAGCTAGGGAAATTGCCTCTAAAAATCAGCAGGTCAGGAGGTAACATCACCAGGGGTTGCCATGGAGACACCCAATGGTGAGCTTCCTACTAAGCACAACCACAGGCCTATGAAATGACAGATCCTACTCTCTAACCCCAAATGTGCTGAGCCTCTCTCTCTCTCTCTGTTTCCATACACACTTTTCCATGTCATCTGCGCCCTTCTACACATACCCAAACACACATCATCAACATTGATGCACACAATCTGGGAGAGGGCAGCAAGATCTCAGCATGCAGGGTTTAGCGGCTTAAATCGACCACCTCTGGTTCATTGCTTAGGCAAGTGCTCTTTCTCCTGCATCCACACCAACACAGGCAGTATGACAATTATTCCAACATACACCAAATCCTGCTACAAAATGAGTCAGCCCAGCAGCCAGAGTGATGGTGCAGGACAGGACAGTGTGTGAAGTAATTGCCTGTGTTCTCTCTGCTAACTAATATGGCTGAAAGAATTGATCTCCCATGGGTTGTTGTGAGGTCACAGAAATTGATAACCCCAACAAGATTCCCTGTGTCCGCCAGCCTGCGTCCCACTGATAGGCCACTTTTGTAAATTAATCCTCATTCTTAGTCTTGTGTCCAAGGTACCAAACTGAACAATGGTAAGGATTATGATTATGTCAGAAATTACATTTTGTGTAATGGGCTTTAATACATCTCCCATCTCTCTAGCTCTCCTAACATCTGGTGTACATAGCAAGATATTGTTTGTTAATAAGCTTGAGAAGCCTGGTGGAATAACATTACATAATCAGGATACAAAACTGTATTGTATTACAGTTAAATTGAATGTTTAGCGATACATTTTATAAAACACAAGTGCTAGCAGAATTTACATCTTTAAATAAAAATGTATAGTCCTACCAACAATTACTAAAATACAAACTTTCAGATTTGCATTCCATAGCACTTAGCACAAGTTCATAAGAAGCCAGTTTCCATGATAAATGCAACTATCGCATGTAAATGACATGACACTCAAGTGAAACATGGTCAAACCATTTTCACAGTTGCCAACTCACTGCAATGACTTTTTAACCAAAAGTAGTTTGATGCAATGATATTGGATGATTAGGCTACTGATTACCTTTGTGAGGGAATTCATTTGTGATTAATAATTTGTTTCAGAATGCATTTTTAAAGTAAAGTAACCCATCCCATGTTCTGAGCGCCTACATCAAGGCCGGTTTAATGGATTAGGGCATGTAATCAGATCCTTAGCAATATCAATCTCTGACACTCGGAGAACAAGAGCGGAGAGAGTTTGCGAACAGAATTTCATGAAGAAATATGTGGCTAAGGTTGTTCTTTGTGTTCTTGCATCAAACGTTCCCTCCTGTGCTCAGTTTCACCTCTCCACTCCCTATATCAGGCCCTTCATTAGACATGGCTAATAACAATAAGTATGTACTGATAGCCATCTCTGATAACAAACGCGCCCGTGCAAAAGGTCCTGTCAACCTTTACAGAACTTTTGACGTGGGAACGGCGAAAATACTAGCTGGTTAGGCAGAGACAACGAGTCCCATGTCACAGTGATTGCGGGGCAGACGGGTTTCGAGAGGGAGTTGAGAGAGGCGTAAGAGTAGCTGCTCTCACAGGGGTTCGTATTTGAATGAGAGAACAAACAAGAAAAAAAGAAAAATGTTGGAAAATTCCTGGCGGCAATATCCCTTTGGGTGAATTGATTTGCAGGGAGATGAGGCGATAAGTGGAAGACTGATGGGAGGGGCGAGTAAAAGCGGGGGGAGGGGAGTGTATTAATTCAAATCATTAGGAGCTGCTTGCCAGGGGCGAAGCTATTGATTGCATGTAAACACAAAAGTACAATTGACTTACCAGTTGTTCACTTGTAGTATAGTGAGTCCGGTGTCTTGTGCCAGTTGCTTTTTCTGTTCTTCTGAAGGGTAGGGGTGCTAAAAAAAACACAGGAAATGATATATGAAACATTGTAAATAAATCAATTAATGAGCACATTTGTTAGTGAGAGAAAGGTCTGAGGTACAGAAGGGAAATGTTGCTCACACGTTTGTGCGGAAAAGTGGCAAAGCAGCTGTTAATTAGTGTGAAAAAGTGAGGTGTGTCTCTTTCTTAGAGTCATTAATGGAATATGAAATCGTGTAATTAATGGCAGCGAAAAAGGCAAGCCAATTATAAAGTTAAGTGAAGTGTGGGAACAGAAACAGTAATTAGAGTGCTATGCCGTGCAACCCTACTGAAATTTATTCTAGTCATCTTTCTGTCATGAATGCATGATGGAGAATGGATATCTGAAGCCTTGCGTGGAATACAGACCACATATATTTACAGACCTAAAAGCTGTAAGATAACCCTCATTTTTGATGATTAGCCACTTAACATCTAAATGTCAACATGGACAATGTACAAAGTACTGAAAATAAGCTTCTTCGATACAGCTGAGTTCTTAAAGTTATGAACTTGATTTGAGCTGATCCAGCTGTTTAAATAATGGTGAGCTGAGATTTGCTTGATTTATATTTGCGTTAGTGTGAAGTATGGAGCTAGCTAGCTTTGAGTCTAAACAATGTGCCGTTCACGAAGACAAGACAGAGCCTGCGTTGAGGCCCCTGCTGAGCATGTAAAATGGGAGGTACAGTGTGTAAAGATATTTACACCATATTTATACCTAGACAGAGAGAAAAAGAGTGAGAGAGAGAACCCTGTGCATGGCCTCAAAGCACAGCAATAACGGCTTTCCCATTTCTGTGGAACACTATTTTCATATTATGCTTTGTCAACACAATACACAAACCTGGACACATCCAGTCTTTGTGGATGGCTCAGTGTGCCCTTTGTCTCACTATGCTAACAGATCCAAACCTTCTAAGCCCAGTACCAAACCTGGCACAACCTGTTAGAGATTAACAGAGACAGGGGCTTTAACTTGGCTTTGGGTTGCAAATCAAGCAATGTGACAATGGATCGCTGTTAAACAGCGACTTCTATCAATAATGAGTCAACATCATTGACACTGCAGCACAGTAACTGGTTGAGCCATGTATGAGGCAAGGAAAGGGCGCTTGTGAATATAATTTGCTTTTACTTATGTGATCTAACATATAGCGTTGCAAAGGAAGACATCATCAATTGTGATTCTGATTCACCCTTTGAGAAGTATAATAAGAACAAGGCTTCCAAATGAACAAACAGAAATGTAAAAATGGTTGGCGCCACGGGTTGTCTGCTCCTTTTTGAGCAATAATAAATTGGAATGTCTTTCATGTTGCTGAATGCATGTTTATTTACTGGTACTGCCAGAGAAAGCAAGCTGTTTTCCTGTCGCTCTGTCATTTTCATGTGATCCAATTGTAGGTAATTGGAACAAACTGTGTATTATTTCATGCAGAAAGTTATAATTGTAGTGACGCCTCCAGCCATTTTTGAGTAGATTAAATTTTTTTTTTTAAATGTATCCCCTTATCATATCCATTGTCCGTCGTTATAAACTACAATGATAAAGTTTGTGTGAAACCAGGGCCAGGACTTGAAATGTGAGAAAACAACATTCCAGCCTCTCTCACTGTCATCTGATCAGTGATCATCATTGATAGTAGGCCTGTGAGCATCAAAAATGTAATGTAACTATAATCATAAAATCAACTCCAACATTAGATTACTTTCATCCCTGTTCTATTCTGTAGTTAACCAAATTATCTGAGAGGAAAGAAGTCCTGCCCAATTTTAAACGGACTGTGTATAAAATAATGGCATGAAGTGTGGCACAATGGCTAGTCAGCCCTATATTGAAGTACATGTCTGGACAAAAGAATCAGAGGCCTCATGACTTTTTTGGGGAAGGCAGTGCCGAAGGCTATATGACAGCACTAACGCTGCCTGTTCTGCTGCCGGCCCATCAAAGAATGACTCCAGTTCTGCGCCACTGCAATTCCAGGAATGAGAGCGCTGAGACCGGATGAGATTCACACATCATTGTGTTCTTCACACTACCTCTCCTACACTAAAACCTTTTAAATTCCGTTTTACTCAGACAACACAATTTGGAAAGAAGAAATTATCATATTGCCAGACCATTTACATACAAAATTCTTTTGCAACTGCTATTTTGAAATCTCTTCCACAGCTACGTTTTATGAGTCATACATTATGTGCTCCAAACTTGTAAAGGTAGGGGTAACTAGGGAATGATTCATACTAAAACTCAAATGTTAAATATAATAAAAACATTGATGAAGCATAAAATGAAGAATGCAATGTGCTGGCTTCACTTTTAAGAAAAGTGGTGGGAGGAGGACTGTCAACTAAGGCAACTTGTTAGACAACTTTACAAAATGAAATGTTACAACAATGCACAATGGGGTGGAGAAAACGAGCAGTCAAGTTTCAGCTCAACTTAAATGTAACCTAATCCTATCCTAACTTCTCATTAAATCCTAGAAACCCCATACAAAGACCTGTTCTGTGATTGACAGGTGGCTTCGACTGTGAGCATTCAGCAGTACCCAAACAGGATTCCTGTACAAACGCCAACTGGGTCAAGCTCTTTAGCCTACAGCATCATATGTGCCTCACCTTTGTTGTCATAATGACCCCGATGTAGTCACACCAGTATTTGAGTAGAATGGGGCAGCAGTGACTGCGGCCCTATTTACACTTATTACTGTACTTGTCATACCTGGAAAACATCCATATACACTTCTAACTTAGGTCCTCCTGCCTTTTTTCGGTTTTTAAGTAAATTGTCCAGGGTCTATTTGCAATCACAACAGGTGATACAGAAATTTACTTTACTGCGGCAGACTTTGAGTTGTTATTATTTTTATTGTTGATTTGGCCTTTTTTTTTTCTTTTCTTATCTGTAGGTGACTCTGATGCCTGTTCTCAAACAGATAACTGTGCATACTTCTTTCTGCAGATTTCAGATTTGTGCAACCCCTTCCTTCATGACATTCCTAAATGTTCATCCATTCCAACTCTTGCAACAATCTTCTCATACATCTTTTCCATACTTGCTGATGTATTTCATAATATTAAAGCTTTCATAAACTCATGAAGTGGATATAATTAGAAACCCTTTTTTCCCTTTGTGTTGGTCTCCAAACACCAAATTATCTCTATGCGTCAAAACAGTGTGATTTAGATTCTGGTTTAACGGAGAGAAACCAACAGATTTTATTATAGTCAGAGAGCGACTGAGTATTTTAATCCTCTTGGCAGCAGTACTGGGTGAGAATTGTTTTCTCAGGGTCTCGTGATGCTTTAGTGAGAAAGCAATAACACTGCCTAAAGAACAGATGGAAAGTCTCAACGAATCCTCCCTGTTTCCCTTCGCCTATCTTAATGATACGTCTTGTCCAAATATACTACTCCTTTCATCAGAATTTCCAGCCTCTTCTGCACTGGTGGATACCAAGCCAACGATGCTCAACGATCCTCCCCGTGCTCAGTTCTCCATCATGTATCTTATCTTATCTTTGTGTGTGTGTATGTGTGTGTGTGAGTGTGTGTGTGTCTACCAGTGCATCAACAATTGTCCCTCCTGGTCTTCCTCCGTGACCCCCTCAGACAGGGAATGGCGGGGAAGAGCGTAGAGTCCGTGTCCTATCAGCAAGATAAGAGAGGTGAACAGGTCTCTCCCATTCTCTCGTGCTTTCACTGGTAGAGCTAAAGATTGCTTCTCGAAACAGAACTCAGACTTCCCCCCTAACCCTCGGTTGACTCTGCTCTCCTTACCCACAATTCAGAGCGATGGCCGAGAATGCTGTTTTGAATACAGCCAAGATATGAGGAGTCAAGTTGTGTCAGGAGACCTTTCCGTGGGAGAGGGTAGAATTCCAGTATTTACTACACTGTACCCTGAAAGCTGAGAGGTACAACCCAGACTATGAGAGCAGAAACATGAGAGGTGTGTACTCTTGGTCTTTATGTCTTTGTGGGGAGAGTTGTGTCTATGTAGAACAGGGAGGAGGAGGTCTGGATGAGCTCCAGCTGCGCTCCTTATCAGGTCCTTAGACAGGATTCTCTGGTTCACTGTGAGGGGAGAACTATTTTGGAAGTTCTTTTCATCTCTGCGTTTTCTTCATCATTTTGCTTCCCCCGCAAAAAAAAAAGCCAGAATCCCAGCAGTATTTCTTTACCCATCGACTCCCGGGGTTGGCTAAGGCCACATACTGAACACATCCTCCCCCCAATCGCTGTGGACACATCTTTTTGTGTTCCATTTAACCAGTTAATTACAATCAGCCACAATCCCCCTCTCCCCCACTCTGCTGCTTTCATTACCCACATTACCGTTATTATCGTTATGTTCTATTTAAGGGAACATTTCTCTCTATCCTGTGTGATTTGGATTAAAGAAGCTTTCCATACAAGATTAACTTAATAAAATAAGTGTGCTGAACATGGTGCTTATTCCTCACACAGAAAATTAGTGGGGAGGGATGGCACAAAAATGTAACATGCCCACTGAGTCGCAGGAAACAGTCACAGAATGAATCCCTGTGGCTCCATCTGACAATGCCTCCACTAAGTGCCCATCTCCCAGAGAAATGTGATGTCTAATACTAAATACGTTGCAGGGGCGACTAAGGTCAGTGGGTCCTTTCAAGGTATGTGAGGGTTCATTTCAGCTAGGTCTCCTACTGCAGCCTCACTTCCATATTCCTTGTGGCTAATCCCCATGGAAGCCAAGCTGCCCCTGAGGAATGCCTAAGGCTTGATCCAGGGGCCATTCTGGCCTAGGTGTCTACTGAGTATCATTTCCATATCCCATCTCAGAACCAGCCACTGTACGTGTGGGCTGCGTCCACCGCTCTTCCGTGGCTTGGCCCTTGAGAAAACAGGATTATGTCTGAAGTTTAGTGCTCCACCTACTCCAGCTCTGCTAGCATTAACTGTACCAGAGCTACAGCTTCAGGCCTTTTGCAGATAGGGCCAC